TATGCAAATTTATCACATCAGACCATTCAACTGCTCATGGGAAAGCTGTGTAAAAACCGCATTGTCTTCTAGCACCTCCTCTCATTTAGAGTGATGTTTTAATAAGAAAGCTAATCAAGTTTTCTTATGCATTATTTATCTGTTAACATGTAAGGAAGATCCAAATTAAAACTGTGTCAACCGGGATACGGCAGTGATGCACTAGATCTGGAAGTGATTCAGCAGCACAACAAAGCTGATATGATTCAACACTTTTTGTCCACCCCTCCCCTCGGATCATTTAAGGCTGTGGTATGAAAAATAAAAGAAGGTTAATTCACTAACTGGAATGGGGGAAGGGCAGGAAGGAGTCCCCACCTGTGTTAGCCTTCATGTTTCAATTTAGGAATCACATTTCTGAATGCGAGGCCCACAGTGGTGAGTTTACTCCGAGCCCAGCATTTCTTCTGAGAGATGCATGTGAAAGCATCCCGGCTGCTGCAGTGGCCCTGTGGTGCTAGGCTCCCCAGTAGCAAGCCAGCTGTTTCCTGCTAGAGGTCTGCAGCCTGGGCCTCTGACGCCCTGCCCTGCGGTATGGGGATCAGGAGACGTGCTCTGAGCCATTAAAGACCCAGACAACCTGACGCAAGAGGTAAGGCGGGAGGAGAGGCGCACACTGCCTCCGGACTTCTTGGCCAAGGTCAGTGCACCTGCTCCTGGCTGTCTGCTCTGCCCTGCTCCATTCCAAAGTTGTCTCCTGTATTTGGCTAGTGTGCTTCCTGCTGAGAGTAATTAGGCTCCTTATGTAATAATAACCCCTCATCCTTCTCTAAGTACCTCTCAGGCATTATGAGGGAGGTACTAATTATTCCCACTATGAAGACCAGACTGCCGAAGCTGTGCTGCTGTCCCCCCCCCCCCATGCACATCACCAGCTCATGAAATACCTGTTGAACCTGAGAGTGGAGTGAAGGTCACTTGATTCCTTGCGAGCTGGCCCCTCACTGACCTGGTGCCCTGGGCTGCAAGGAGTGGAGACTCTGCAGGTGGTGCCCCCACCACCTCAGAGCCTCATCATGGCGGGCGTCCTATAGGACCCGCTCCACCAGGCAGCTGCCCTCTTCTTGCGCTGTGACTACAGAGAAATACCAGCACCGTTTAGCCCTTTCAGCGGGGCAGTAAACCACGTGGAATACGTATCCTTGTCTGAGTTCAGTCTCTGCCAAAGCCGAAGCAGGTGAGGTAGACTCTGCTTGGTGCCTCTTGCCAGATGTGCCTTGTGTCATTGGAGCATCCAGATGCAGCTGGCAGAGCTGCATAAACACTGATTTCCAGGATCCCGATTGCTTCAGAGAGGACACCTCTGGTACCTCCTGCCAGTCCCCTGCTCTTGCTCAGTCACAGCTCACTGACCTCTGCCACCCAGTAGACATTTTCAGGCAGCCCCCACCTTACTGACACTACGTGGGCAGTTAGAAGGGTCATCACGGGCGGCACCCACAGTTGCCACGCACTCTCCTGCCTGGCTGTGGCTCCCCCTTCCTTTTTCCTGTCCAGATGAAGTCTGGTGTGCACATCAGCCTACTGAAACTAGTATTTTTGGAAAGCCAGAGTGACTTCTAAGTAGGTCGGTAACTATTTATAATTGGAGATACTTTCCAGAAATCGGTGGTCCATGAGGGTCGGTGGACTCTGCACAGGGGAGACCAACCTTCCAGCTTGTCTGGACTGCTCTGCGAAGGACCGGAGACCACACTGAGCCCACAGTGTCCTGGGTCGGCACCCACTCAGGAGCCTCCTTGGGATCCCTGCATGCCTCCGCTTTACAGCTTGACATGAAGTCTATGTGGCTGGGTGGATATTCCGCCTGTCTCTAAGGCTGGATGCACCTTCTTGTCTATTTATGTTTGTTCAAAGCCTGGCAGTGCAGTGCAGGCTGTGGGCTGGTTCCTGCTTAGCCCAAGTGACTGCAGCAAATGTTTCTGAACTTGTTTAAATGGGTGTATTTGCATTTCACTGCCAGGAGGTTGTGCTGTAAACAATGGGGTTGAGGCACCAGCGTGAACCAGGCGATGAAATTTTATTTTAAAATCTGAAATGCTGTGTAAGCATTTAAGGTATGAATTGGTAATTGTTTCCCAACAGCTCCCATTAGATATGGTTTATTTGTAGCCCATCCTGTCTTCAGGGCCCCAGAGGTTAACACGCATCCTGCATATCATTTACATTGTAAAGCCAGCATCAAGAGAGAATGACCATAACTTTTAAGAGTTTTTAGTACTTGAATGGGTTTTGTGCCTTGGTCCCTGGGGAAAACACGGTTATAATTTTTCATTGACTAATAAGAACAGAAACCTTCCCACTTTGATTAAGAATTCAAATATGCTGAAACTGAGAAATACCTTTCAAAAGAAGAAAAGAAAAGTCTGGTTCTAAGATTGAGAGCTCTCTTTTTAACCCTAATGAATTCAGTAAAACGCAAACTTTTAAAAATCATCTGTCTCATTTAAGATTCGAGATCATCAAATTCTGTCTAAATATTTTGTTTTAACTTCTAAGCTCATTATGGGCTCTTTGTGTTAACTTGTATTAAAATCTGTCAGCTATGACTGGTCTCATAAGCACAGTCAGCGGACCAGAATAAGTTAATTATTTACTTGTGTCACTAATGCTCTTCATCTAATGAAATGCACAGCTGTGTTAGATCTGCGGTGGGATGTGTGGCCCCCATTGTTCGCGAGCCGGCGGAGGGGAGCCGCTCCATGATGGAGAGCCCTCGGCCCTTTCTGCTGCTCTGGCTTTCTGTGTCGATTTCATGGATCTTTTATCATTCACTTTCACACAAAACAAACAACACAGGGCTGTCTGCTATGGGAACCATCTTGGCGTATAAAAGGGTTTTCAGAGCCCAAAGTAATTTTAAGTTAGCGAAGATTTAATTTTTGGCTTACAGGTGCCCCGGGTTGAGATACAGCCAGAGCAGTTCCTCTAACAGAATGAAGAAAATCTGAACGCTTAAGTGTATTTTTAAAAAACAAAGTGTCAAAAAAGAGCAAATAAGAAAACAACTTCTCCCAGAAAAGGACCTGCACTAAATATTAATCAGATTTTAAGGGGAAGTTATTAGGGATTCTGATTGCAACAGGGTGAGCATTTCTTTCATTTTAATAACACAATGAAGTTGAATTTACTTGATGGAATGTGTCAGATAAGACAGAAGACGCAAACACAAGTCATCTCTGAATGTCCCCTCCCCCAGTGTGACTGTGTCACTACCTCCTGCCCCCTCCCCACCTCTGAGCTGGCAGCGGCGCCAGCCCCCCCCGCGAGCAGCTGCAGGTGCGCCTCTTCCCTGGCTCTGTCTTCAGGGAGAGAGCTGATGCGTGCTCTTCCCCAGCAGTCCAGCCTGCCCAGATGCCCCAGGTCTGGCCCCTCGTGGGTACTGCCATCTTTAACACTGCGCTCGCTGCTGAGCAGTGTTGTTGTCACGCGTGCAGATTTACAATTTGATCTCTTTCAAAGTAGATTTCTCAGTGGCTCAAAGGTTTTGCCCATTAATTTTAGTGTGGACAAGATGGATTTTTGGAGGGATGAGAGAAGGGTCACATGCTTGATTTAAATTCTAACACATTGTAGCTGAATTTGAAATAGAAGGGAATGATTGTTTATTTTTCTCATGTAGGAAAACATGCTCTTCATAATAAAACCATCTCCACCAAAATGCCAGTGAAGGTAGCCGCATGCTCTAGAATTCAGCTCCACATCCTAGTTTCCATCTTGTTGGCAGCCACTGGAATCAGAATAGGACATTTTAGGCAGATGGCCTTCTTTTCCTCTGGACCCTAGCTCTGCTGTAACACGTCACACCCAAGTGTTTCAAGTGGTCTGAGGGGGTTGGGGTGCAGCTGAGTGGGAGAGTACTTGTTTAGTGTGCACGAGGCCCAGGCCTTGGTTCCCAGCAACACACACACACACACACACACACACACGCACACAGAGCTAAAACTGAGGAATGAAAAATTTGACAGCAGTTTCTCAGTAGGTTCAGGTAGTTGATGACCTCACACACAAAAAAAGGATTTTTTTTTTTTTTTTTTTACTATAAGAGCAGTTTTTCTCAGTTCAATGTCATTGAATACTAGTTTCCCAATAAAAATTATGTAGATTGTGGTTGGCAAGTTCTACTCCTGCATCTCCTCCCAAGAAATCAGAAGCGCTAAAAACTGCTTAACGACGGATTGCCTACAGCTCAGCCCAGAAGTGAGGGAGTCATCAAGCACAGTTAACCGAGAGTATCAGTAGTATGCAGAGTGGGTAGTTCCCGCTTTGTTCTGTTTTCATGCTTAGAATTCCATTTCTAATTCTTGCCTTTTTCTCCAAGAATGATTTGGCATTTAGTCGTCTTGTCTTTGTGGGTTCACCCAAGGATCCCCTAACTAATGTGCCGCAAGCTACAGGAATTAAAATTCCTGGGGCAGCTGAGGCCCAGTCAGGGCTGCCTGGCAAACATACCAGGCGCACGGTGCCCTGTACCACTAGGCGGACCGTAAGCACCTCAGCCCGCACAAGCCCCTCCTGTCTCAGTTCCTGAAAGGCCGGTTTACACACACAGCCCTGCTTGGGATGCAGCTCTGTGCACTGTGGGAGAATCTGGGTTCTGTGACGTGGCCGAGCTGAGCTGTTGTGGCCTTCAAGCCAGTGTACACAGGTCGGCCTGGGCACTCAGTCCTCCTCTTGGTCTCTGGGCCTGGGAGGGTGGGCAGGTGGCCAGCTGACAGCACCATTGTGTGTCCTGTTGGCCCAATAGTCCGCAGCCACATGTTTTTCTGCAAGGAGAGTCATTTCTGAATTGTTTGTCTAGTGGGATTGTTGGAAATTGCTTTTGTTCGTCCTGATAGCAAGCATGGGGAGGGTTTTAGAGCAGAGGAAATAGAGATAGCAGCAGGGAGATCCCAATTAAGTACTGTATTTGTCCATTCTCCCCGTTTGCTTTCCATGCCCTGAAATCTTCTCTCCCCCAGGTGTTTGTGGCTTGATCGTCCCCCAGGAAGACATGCCATTTTGTGATTCTGGCATCTGTCCGGACATCATAATGAACCCGCACGGCTTCCCGTCGAGAATGACGGTCAGTTACCTTGAGGCTTTTCAGAGCACTGCTTTTAAGGAAGAAAGTGGGCACTTAGTTCAGGGATAGGGACTGAAGCCACAGGACCCTGCAGCTGGTTCTCCAAAAGAGCCCTCTTGGCCTTGCTGGACGGGCAGGCCTGAGCTCGGGCAGTTTGGGGCTCGTCTACCCTGCAGAGAACCAGGGGCTCAGCAGCACTCGGGGGTCTCCTGAGTGGCATGCATGGCACCCAGAACAAAGACCCCGCTGAATCTCCCCTGGGCATCTCCTTTCTGGGAGTCACAAGCTGTGGGCCCTGGCCACCCCTCTCCCTGACTGCATGGCCTTGGGCAAGTTGCCTGAAATGGTAGGAGGAACTCTAGGAGTCTGGAGAGGATGAAAACCAGATGCATGCATTGGACCTTCTTAGCACAGTGCGCAGCCCTGCGCGAGGTCGCCGTGCGCCTCATCTTCTGGGCAGAGAGAAGCAGAGATAAACAGGAAGCGTTCCTGGCCGGGCGGGCAGCGCTCACCCGGTCTGTTCCCCGTGCAGGTTGGCAAGCTCATTGAGTTGCTGGCCGGCAAGGCAGGTGTGCTGGACGGCAGGTTCCATTACGGCACCGCATTCGGAGGGAGCAAGGTGAAGGACGTGTGTGAGGACCTCGTCCGCCATGGTTACAACTACCTGGGGAAGGACTATGTCACCTCCGGCATCACAGGGTGAGTGTGCTGCGGAAGAGGGGCCCTGAGGCTGGGAGGGAGCCCATGTGGCTGCCGCATCCTGCAAGGGTGCTGCCTCGAGCTGCTGGCTTCTAGGGGAAAGCTCTCCTGTCTTAACTCTGACATTAAATAATCCAGATTTGGAAAACTGATAAATTGAGCAGCACTATTTGCATTGATCTGACTACAGCTTGAAGAGTAGAAAGTTGGGGTGGTGGCACATGCCCAGAAACCCGGCACTGGGGAGCTGCAGCAGGAGGATCTTGGATTTGAGGCCAGGCTAAGCAACATAAAGCAACAGAAAGATTCATGTTTATTAACTATGATGTCTGTCTTTTTTTTTTTTTTTGGCCAGCTCAGCACACCCTGGGGGTTGTGCTGGCGTGACATATGGTGTGAGGGATTGAACCGCCGTCTCTGTGCACTTGCCTAAGTGGTGCTTTAGACCATTGAGCTATCTAGTCAGCCCTCTGTCCTACTTTTAAGGAATATAGCAGTTGTGTAGAATAGGAAGGATCTTCCTTAATTGTCAAATTTCCTCTGTATTTTGTGATACAACTGATTCTTTGACAGTACTTGTAGCCTAAGGCCTAGCATTCGCACTTGTTCAGTCAAGCCATATGTACTAACAGTATGTACTGTGATCCAGTATCTAGCCCTAAATAAAGTACTCACGGTCCCTAGCCCATGGAGCTGGCCAGTTAGATTTGTGACTAGACAGGAAAAGTAACAGGCAGGAGGTAGCTTCCCGGTGGGGCCTAGCCTGAAATGGTCTCCCGGCCTGCCTGCTTCCTGCCTCATTGCCCTGGGAGTCCTCATCAGGTAGAAAGCAGTGTCCTCCCACAGCCCAGGCTCTGCTAGTGCCCAGCACAGAGCCAGCAGCAGCTGGCGAGGGAGAGGGGTACAACATGCCTGGCCTTGACAGAGGAGAGGCACAGCTCCCCAGAGGGTGGGTACCCTGCAGTGAGGGTGGACAGGAGAGCTGGTGAGGCCATGAAGGATGCCCTGTGCTCACCACTGCGAAGAGCCAGGAGAGTCCCAGCCTGCAGAGAGGGCGCTGAGGGCAGCAGCCCACCAGGCCATCAGAGGAGGCTCCACCAGCCTGTAGGAACAGATCCTGTGTCCTGTGGGCAAGAGGGTTGGAAACTTGACTCGTGAGAGGCCTTAAAGGGTCACACATAGGGTCGTACTCCTCACGGAGCTCTGGGACCTGGTGCCTGCCCTGTGCTCTGAGGTCAGAACCTGCTTGGACTCTAGGGCATTGTGGCTGGATGTGTGGCTAACGCATGACAGACATGCTCTGAGACAGACTCCTGAGGTGACTCAAGCACCCCATCAGGTCTACTACGGTAACCGCTCAGACTAACGGTGCAGGTTTCCTCAGGTGCATCATGTCAGAGATGAGAGTGAAAGCCTCACTGCAGGACGAGACTAATGGACCATTTGAAAACCTATTTCGGTAAAATAGCTAAATAGACCATCTTAAGATAGCTGCCACTGCTAACCAAGCGAGAAATAGTGCAGTGCTCAGCCAGACAGTGCCCAGAAGCACAGGATCCGGTGGCGGCGCTTCTCGGATCTGACTGTCCTGGAGGCTCTGAGTGCGTGCTGTGCGTGCTGTGGTCTGCACTATGGTCCACACTGCGCCCCAGCCCCACCCCTGGCACCCAGCCACTGTCTTCCTGTCTTTGCCACCATCTCTATGGCGACGTGTGAGAGGCGCTGCTTGGCTAGTTAGCTCAGAATTCCACAGAGGGCTGCACACACCTTTGCCCAGTGGCTCTCACCCCTTGTTTGTCATGAGTGTGGTGAGTGTGGCTGGGAGGAAGACTGCGTATGGCTTCATGGGGAGATAATGGGGTTGAGCTGAGTTACTCCCGCCGGAGCAGCCATGCTGTGGAGGGCTGGAACTGGTGCGCATCATCTTTTTGTGCAGCCCTGGTGCGCTCGCCATGATGTCTTCCATCTGCTGGGGTTCCCCAGGCCTGGCCTGCTGGAGCCTGAGGGGTGCTGGCAGTGCCATGAAGTGAGCAGAGCCAGGTGTGCACAGCTGCCTGGCCCCAAGCCCACGGCTGCTCCTGCTCCCTCTGCCGGGGCCCAGTGCATTCTCATCTCAACACTTCTGTTCTCTACTCCTGCTCAGATTAAAAGGTGTCTTGCACTTTGTTTTGTCTTTCCTGCCGAAGCACCTCTATGCACACTCTCTTCACGCCTCACCATAGGTTTTGGAGTCATCAGTGGGCTGCAGCACAGGCTTTCCGTGGCCCAGCGGCACACCTGACACGGTCACGGGTGCTGGCATCACAAGGGTGGAAGAGGCACAGAGCTGCTCCTTCTGCAGTTTGCTCTTTGGACTAACACCCCGTAGTCCAGTAGCAGTCAGTGCCAAGGAGCGCAGAGGCTGCTTTCAAAAAGGCTGTCAGGGAGGAGCTTTCTGTGGAACTGCACTGTGGACAGGGCCACGCGAGCCCTGATGATAGAATGTCCCAGGCAGAGGCCCGGAGGCAGGGACATGCTTCCTGGAAGTGGCCTGTGTTGCTGGATTAGGGTGAGCCGTGAGAGGACGGAAGTACCTGAGGTGGGCAGGAGCTCAATTGTGTTGACCTTCTGGCACTGTTACAGAGTTCTGGCAACATAGGCTGTGGGTGGTGATAACTAGAAGGACTCCTGCATGGTACATGCAACCAGGCTGTTGAGGCCTGGGCCTGGGAGTAGGCAGGCCAGCAGCGAGATGTCTGTGTATCCCAGGCAGAAGAGGGTGGTGGCGGCAGGTGGGCTGCCCTGGACTGCCTGCTGCCCACCGTGTTCAGCTGTGTCCTGCCTCGCGAAACCTGTCTCTTACCCTAGCCCCACCAGCTATGCAGCCTTCACAGCCAGCTGCAGACCCCTCTGGGCCTGAGCACACAGCGAGGGTGCTCAGAAGGCAGCTCGTTTGCATGCACCGAGGCCTCATCTCCTAACCCAGTGCCACCCTCTCTTCCAGGGAGCCGCTGGAAGCATACATCTATTTTGGGCCTGTGTACTACCAAAAGCTGAAGCACATGGTGCTGGACAAGATGCATGCCCGGGCCCGCGGACCTCGCGCCGTGCTCACCAGGTAAGAGGAGTGGTCTAGAAAGGTGGGACAGAGTACTCAGAGCTACGTTGCGCGTTTCAGACGCCTGAGGCAGGCTTAGCGAGGGTTCTGTGTTCCTGAAATAGCAAAATGCAGGGATTAAGCATTGAGAAAAATCATGTACTTATGAGCAACATGAAGAAAAACAGCCATTGAAAGCTTTCGAGGACCAAGTTCCAGCCCTCTGCAGGCCACACTGGCCTCCAGGTACAGTTGTTTGCTGTGTCCCTGTCAGTAAACATGTCTTTCAAAGAGCCTTGCACCCACGTGTGTGTCGGTGCCTCGTGTGCACCACAGGAACACAGTTATATGGCCCCCCGGGCACAGGGTGCCTGTCCCTGCGTGCTTCTTGGTCCCCTCGGAAGGGAGGGTCCTCATGTGCAGCACGATGTCCATTTCAGCGGGAAAGGGGACTGTAACTAGTCAGCCCCTGGACCATAGGCACACATGCCATCTCCAGCTGCAGAGTGGAAGTGTGGTCTGAAAGGCTGGGTCCACCCTGCGCACGTGCAGTGTTTTCCTGTTCTGATCCCGGATAGTCCAGTGCAGCAGCTACGCATGTGTCATTGATTTGAAGTCAGTCTGGGTCTGGGGGAAAATCCTTGTCTTCTTGTGACCCTGAGGCTCGCCTTCTGGTGGCGAGGCTGGGTGCAGGCCCTGTGTGCTGTCCCTCCCGGGAAAGCACGGCGCAGAGCAGGCAGGCATTGCAGCAATGGGACTTGACAGCCGTGCTAAGCGGTGGTGTCACCGGCTCGGGGGTCTGCGCTTTTCATCGTGACTGTGCAGAGAGCTCCTGCTTATGGCAAATGCTCACTGTAAACTGCTGGGTGCCCTTGCCACAGCCTCAGGCAGCCTCGCTCCGGTGTCTCTCGACTGCGTTGTTTCTCTCATGCTGGATTTAATCTTGTGTTCTGTTCACGCTGGCCCTGGGAGTAGTGGGCTCATGCTCTCTCTTGCTCGCTCGCTCTCTCTCTCACTGTCTCTGTCTCTCTGTCTCTGTCTCTCTCTCACACACACACACACATTCTCTCTCTCCTCTCCTTCTCTCCCTCTCTCCCTCTCTCCCTCCCTTTCTCCCTCTCTCTCTCTCAGCTGGGCTGTATGCTATCCATCCCATCCAGATCTGGGTGAGTACACTCAGCCACTCAGCGTTTGCAAAGCAGACTCTTCAGGATGTGTTCTTCAGGCCCTGCTGGAAGCAGCACGTGACTGTGTGTGGGAGAAGGGCGTGGCTACATGTGGACTTCACACTGTTCCTACTGAGGGCCTGAGTCCCCACAGGCTGTGCTATCCCTGGGCATCCTGGACCCCACCTTGCTGCAGGGCCAGCTCTTAATGCTGCCCCTTGCAGCAGGGCCTTGGATCCCAGGGAACCCTGGACAGCGTCCCAAGATGGTCTGATTGTCACGGCTTGGAGGCGGGGGCTGGGTTCCCATGTCCTGTGTCAATATCAGGCAGGCACAGGATGGCTGTCGGGTGCTCCCAGCTCAACAGGGCAGGGCCAGTAGGCAGGAAGTGGTCCCATGTCCGCTTCCCAGCACTCACAGAGCCTGGACAGATCACTCAGCTTCCCGGGCTTAGTCCTGCTTCTCTGTAGAATGGAGGTGGGTGGACAGCAGAGCCAAGCTGCTGCATTCAGAGGAGATGCCACCCGCTCGCCCCAGCGGAAGCCTGTCTGCAGTGCACACTCCTGGCATGCTGACTCCCTTCTCTTGGCGCAGGGGCAGAGGTGGAGGGAGTCCCTGCACGGGGCTTCTGCCCACTGGTAAGGCAGATGCATGCCCAGGGAGGCAGTTTCCACTGCCGTGTGCTGACTCAGGCCCGCTTGAGCGGCTCTGTCGATTTCCTTTCAGCAAGTAACCCATAACCTCCTAGATTCCCATCGTAGCTTCCCAGCAAGATGTGATAGTGATGGCGCTGTTAGCAGCGGTGTTTTGTGCACCTTAGATCGCTCTGTTATGTACTAAGTATTAGATGAGCGTGCTGTTTTTATTTCATGACAATGCCAGCAACCTGTATCTTTCTGCACTGAATGCTTTTGCCACAAACAGGTGTGCTGCACTTTTATGAGTGAGGGGAGAGGCCAAGCGGAGAGAGATGTGGGTCAGATGCATTGCGCAGGTGCCACGTGAGCATGTGGTGTGCCTCCTGCTGTTTTCAGGATGACCCATGCTGACATCTTTTTCAAAGGCAGCCCACCGAGGGGCGGTCCCGAGATGGCGGCTTGCGTCTTGGAGAAATGGAGCGGGACTGCTTGATCGGCTATGGAGCCAGCATGCTGCTGCTGGAGAGGCTGATGATCTCCAGCGATGCCTTCGAGGTGGATGTCTGTGGCCAGTGTGGGCTGCTCGGCTACTCCGGCTGGTAAGTGGTACCATCTCTCCTTGGGCCCGCCCTCGCCTCTTTGGTCCCAGTGCAGGAGTCCCAGAGGTCAGGGCGCACCTCTGCAGTCTCTGGACTGTCCTGAGAGCACCTGTTGACCTCCCTGTCTGTCTGTGCATTGCCCATGCCGAGATCGGCACTCCGTGTCCATATGCTCTTTGTGTGCACACCGAGCCGCCCTCCCCACCTCTCTGCCACCTGAGTCTCAGCTCCCAAGGAGTCTAGGTCTGCTCTTTCATTTCCTGTCACCTTGTGTGTTTCATAAACACTGTCCCCATGACACTCCCAGCAAATGCGTCCTTGGGTGTCAGAATTACAACCTGCAGTAGAAGCTCTTGAGAGAACTGTGTGGAGCACTCTTGCTGCAACTTCCGACCCAGAAGTCCGCTGTGCTGCTCCAGGTCTCAGAGCAAGTGCCGTGGCGAGTGCTCCACACTTGGATGCAGGAGCCCACCGAGTCGGGGCCAGGGCCCAGGGTGCAGGCGTGAGCAAGACCGCCCTGCTGTTGGTGTGCACTAGAAGCTCGCTGCCAGGCTGTTCCCATCACGTTCCTTCTGCCTGCTGCTCCAGCCTGGAACCTGGCCACTTTAACTGGAAGTTGAAGATAGTGTGCAGCGAAGGACTTCTCTGTAGTGTTGGCCCAGAAGAACGTGCTCCTTGCTGTGTCTGTGTGGAGCTCACTGTAGCACCTTTCCTGTTGAGGACAGCTCTACTCTACCACCAGGGAACAAAGGCTCTGCTTTGAGTCAGTCATGACCCCAAGCCCTCAAATCCTCCTGCAGGCAGGACAGCCCACTGGTCTGTTTCCCTCATTTTCTGTGGGAGGGAGGATGGTCTGACCGGGTCCCGACAGCCCTGCCCTGTGGCCACCCTCCCAGCGGGGCTCCTGGAGCCCCCTTCCTCCTTGAGGTTGATGGGGCGCAGGTGTGCTTGCTTGGGCTTCAGCGTTCCTGGCCCTGCCCCTCCGCCCTCCCTCTGGTCAGAGCCGGCGTCTTGCCATTCCAAGCTGTCCGTGTCTTGGTTGAACAAAGCAAATCAAGACTCAGAGCAAGGGGGCTCCTTGGAACACAGTGCCCCCCTCGTTAGCTAACCATCCAGACCTTCAGTAAATTATTCTGTGATTCTGGTGAGGAAGTCGATGAGTCCTGCAGCACAGAAAAGGCTTCACTTTAGAAGCTAGCAGAAGAGGTGGCCACTTGCAGTTCTTTTCGGGGGTGCAGGGACAGGTGACGTTCTTCTGAGAATAAGCCTCACTCTTTCCTATAGCAATGAGATGGGGGTTTGCTTCAGTCCTGAGATGTCTTTTGAAAAGCATATTGGGCTTGCTTTTCATAGTCTGGGCTGTGTAACCTAAAAAGAAAGAAAAGGAGTTGGAGAGATGGCTCAGTGGAATAAGTGCTTCCCTGGCAAGTGCAAGGGCCTGAGTTCAATCCCCGGTTCCGGAAAAAAAAAAAAAAAAAATGAGAAAGAAAGAAAGAAAGAAAGAAAGAAAGAGAAAAGAAATAGCATAATAGGAAGATGCCAGGAACCTGGTTCCACTATGTTTAAATCTTCAAATTTGGCACAAGGATTTTTAAGTCACTTGTTTCTGAAAGGGTGATACAGAAGAGCTATTTCATTAAAAATAGGGGCCATGAAACTTCAGAAATAGTTTGGTTTTCTTTTCCTCCTCCTTGCATTCCACCTCCACGGAAAGCAAGCAGTAGAGCAGATTTGCGTAAGCCCTTAGAAAGCCCCTCTGCTGGCCGCCCAGGTAGGCCGACGCCCACAGGAGACCTGTACACAGTGGTTGGCCTCTCCGCGCTGTGCCGTTCACTTCCTTCTCTGTCCTGCCTCACTTCGGCCTTGCATGTGGGTCCTCAGGCACCTGGTGCTGGGTTTGAGGCTTGCAGCTAGGTGTTTTGTGTGCGAGTTCCTCTGAAAGGGCTAGATCAGAAGGCATGGCTTGAGGATAGTTACTGGGATTAAACAGAACCTAGCACATGCTGTCTGGTTACAAGTGGCCACTCCTCTTCTGGTTGCTAGCAGCAAGCGTCTGAGTCTGTTCCGGGGTCCAGCTGCTCTGGGCTGAGGGCATAATGATGCCCGCCTCCTCCTGGCGGGCGCCTGCTCAGGAGGGCGGGAGCCAGAGGCATGGGCTAGAGGAAGTGGACCTTTAATGAGCTGCACAGTGGAGGCTCGGTAATTAGTGCATTCGGAACCTTGGGACGGCTTTCGGGTGCTTTGCACGCCAGCCAAGCCCCGTGGTGCGGGGGCTTGTACCAGGACTGTTGTTCCTTGGAAGATGAAGGGTAGAAGTCACAAAAGAGAAGCCCTATTAAGATAATTAGCTCATAGGAACGTTGCACAGGGCAGCTACCGCCTGCTTCTGTGAAGCCCAGCCGCCTCCTTAGGCTGCTTTTATCCTAAACGGTGGATTTTACTGATGTTCGGGTCAAATGTCCACCTGTGGGAGTGGCCCACACCCTCCTCAAGGTGATGCGTGTGTGAATGGCACGTGGGGCACATGCATGGAGGTAGCGTTGGGACATTTGCGGCTCTGAGCACAGGGAGACAGTGGCAGAGGTCAGCAGGCTGTCCAGGTGGGACTCGGCCCCAAGCAGGTTGCAGTGCAAGATCCTAGGAGGAGGGCAGCTCAGGCCATAGTCCGGGGCTGGCTGCCGCGTGAGGTGACTCCTGAGGCGAGCAGAGCTGCGCACACTCCGGACAGCGGGCTTCCGTGCTGCGGCCCAGCCTGTTGGTGGTGTGAGGCCACACCTGCCCACTGGTGTGGCCATCGCGTGTGTCACAGCGCTGTTCCAGCCCCTCCGCTCCTCTGCGGGCCGCTCAGCACCACACCCCATGCTCAGCTGCAGTGCTTGCTCTTCCCTAAAATAAAACTTCACTTTGCTAGTTGTAAAAATAATCCTTGCTTATTATAAGATACTCAGAATTTACAAAAAGATAGAAGGCGGCAATCATATTAATTTCTATTACCCAGGATGGCCACTATTAGCTTTTTTTAAAAAATTTATTTGGTACAGGGTCTCACTACGCAGTTTGGACGCATAGTGATCCTTCTGTTTTCAGCCTCCCCATTGCTAGGATTGCAGGCATGCCTTCCCACACCCAGACCTGATGGTCTGCTCAGCATTTCCTGGGATGGGCTGGTGCAGTGTGGTGCCCGGGATCCCACCCTGGTCCCTGTGCTTGCCTAAGCAGACAGCCCACTGAGATATCTTGCCAGCCCCACTGTTAACATTTTAATGACTGTTCTATGGTACATCTTTGTTTGCCTGTACATCTTTCATTTCTACCTTTAAAGATCATGAGCCCTTCAGAGATTCTAGTAACAGCAGAAAATAAAAACATACACATTTTTTTAAAACCTCCTGGGACTACACTGTTCAGCATCTATTTTCTTGCTACGTGGTGTCCACTGGCACACCTCGTGGCCACAGTGTCCTCACAGGCACTTGCTGCCTGCTCAGGGCTGTCTCCTGCATAGGTAGCATGAGCAGCTGGGACGCCTGCCTTTGGGCTGCCCCAAGGGGGTCGCTTTCTTTCTCCTCGGGGCTTTTAGGGTGCAGTCATTGAGGCCTAAGTGCGTGCTCTAGCCCTTCCTAAAGGAAAAGGGACGATAACCTGACAGAAGCAAGCGTGTGGTTGGGAGCCTGCAGCTGCAGGGACTGCGTGGGGACACGCGCCTGCATGTATGAGCACACGGCCTTCACTCTGCTCAGCGTGAGCGCCGGCGCACAGTAAGGACAGGAGCTTCAAGAGCCCACAGCAGCAGCTGCACGTGAGCACGCCGGCTCGGCTGCCCTCGGCTCCTCTCTAGTCGTGCTTCTGCATCCGTGGCAGAGACAGGCACACTGTGAGCGCTTCACCTGGAGCAACAGGCCAACACGACAGGGCTTCTCAGGGACATGGATGCTGACAGGACCCGCTGAGAACTCTTCCATCAGTGTAAAAGTCAGATTTCTGGGGCTCTTTCAAGACAGTTTATAGGCAAATGTTTTAACTTTAAAGAGAAAGGTTTAAAAATGAACCTACTGATTCAAGTGCACGGCTCTTAAGGCTAGCAGGACTGGACTGTGCTTCCCTGTTGCTTCCTTGGCTGTTTCCTGCCTTCCAGGCACACGTACTCATCCATATCTCATAGTAGGACTGGACACTCAGGAGTGGAGGGAGAACCGGTCCCAAGGAGGGGCTTGTAGAGTAGATGCACACCCCTGCTCAGGCCTCTGGGTGTTGTCCCCTACCCCTGACACTGCCCCCTTGGGTTCCAGGTGCCACTACTGCAAGTCGTCATGCCACGTGTCCTCCCTGCGCATCCCCTACGCCTGCAAGCTGCTCTTCCAGGAGCTGCAGTCCATGAACATCATCCCCCGGCTGAAGCTGTCCAAGTACAACGAGTAAGGCCCCTGGGAGCCCACCCAGAGAGCAGAGGGCGCAGGGTGCTCGCTGCTCCTGGGGACGCCTTCTCTGATTAGCTTCTGTCAAAGACGAAATGAACTGAGCTGCTACAGCAGCTGCTTGTATCTGAGACAACTGAGCAGGCAGCACTCGTCAGGAGCCTTGAGCCGCGGCAGAAGTGCCGCCTGAGTCCCACGGGGGCACGTGGCCGTGCGGCGTCTTCCCGTCAGCCTGCCCCCCTTCTCTTGACTCTTGGAGGAGGACTAGGTGCTGTGACTGTGGTCGAGGCCACCGTGCTGAGCTGCATCTGGGGCGGAGGGGCACATCTGCCCAAGAGCGCAGGTCGTCCGACCCCCAGTCTTTGTGGTACTAACCTTGGAATACAATCAATGTAGTCTTGGGGCCGGGGAGATGGCTCAGTGGAATAAGCGCTTCCCTGGCAAGCGCAAGGGCCTGAGTTCAATCCCTGGTTCCGCCAAAAATAAAATAAAATAGAATAAAATAAATAAATGTAGTCCTGCCTTGTTAAGCCAGGACTCAGTTAAGCAGGAGTTTGTGGGCTCAGTTGCTACTGTTTGGAGCTTCCCTGGTCATATGAAATATTAAATATTTGAATATAACTTATCACTTTGGATACTTTGGTATCCATTTTTTAACCTAAATGCTTTCATACCTGTTTCTGATTTGTTCTTAGCCATTCTGCCCTGAAACCAGGTAGATACTTGTGCTGACTGTTTATAGGAGCTGGAGAGTCCTGAGTAGTGCCCTGGAGTTTCATTCCCAATCAGGTGTGTCACCGTGAAAAGTCCCAGAGATTATCACTAGAGGTCAGGCACCCACAGGAGTCGGGCTCCACTCTCAGAAGAGGCTGAGGAATGGGCTCAGTGGGTAAACACCTCGAGCCGTGGTGAGAGCCGTATTGACCTCAGGGCAGGATCTACAGAGTTCCAGAGGGCAGCAGCGCCCTGTGCAAGCAGAGGCTGAATGCCCACACCCGCTCTGCACAGCGCTCCATCCTTCCACGCAGCCTTGTAGTGGTCGAAGTTGTTAGCATGAAGATTCCAGTCCCGCTGTCCTTTGTGGTCACGGGAGATGATCTCTAAGCTGTGGCCCCCGCTGTCTGTGCAGCTGCACCCATCAACTCCACAAAGGGCTCTATGCCTGTGGCAACTTATGTACGTGGGCCTCAGGGGCACTGGCACAGGGGCTGGCAGGGAGCTGGTGCTGGTGGCAGGACCCCGCCCTCAGCCGTCCTTCAGTGCTGTGCACTGGACCGAGATCAGAAGGGCAGCACACAGCCTTCACCCAAGGCCGCACCACCAGTCAGAGCAGCAGCCCACAGCCAACATGAAGGACCAGCCTCATCTGTGCTGCAGAGACAGGCAGCCATGCGCTGGCGGGTGAGTGGAAGGAAACCGAGGCCCTATGCAGCCCAGGGGCACCCCGTGCCACCCAACTAAGACTCCCAGGTCCCGGTCCTCATTTAGGGGCTTTGTTTTGGTTCCTTCATATTTCTCAGTCACCAAGTAAAAATTCTTTAAAATTCAAATGTTACTGCTAAGTGGTTATATTTCTTATAAATAGTTCTCTTCTAAAAAACCATCTAAGGGCCGGCCAAATAGTTCAGTGGATTAAAGCGCCTGCAAGTGGGGGCAAGGGGTTCAATCCCTGGGCCTGCTGTGCCACCCCGCCCCCTTCCCCAGGGTGCACTGAGATGACTCTTGAGACTGGGTGTGGTGGCGCACACTTGTAATCCCAGCTCTTGGGAGGCTGTAAACAGGTGGGTCACTACGAGTCTGATCTAGTAGTGAGACCCTGAAAACCCTGTAGACCCTTTCCTAAAATGCAAAAAGAAAAATAAACCATCCAAGGTCATCCTGACCATTGTGAGGTGAGTCTACCTAACACAGCAAATTCCAGATTTCCAGGTTCACAAGACCCAGAGAGTATGGGCTACAGATCGGGGCATCCTTAGGGGAAACTCTTCGTCAGGTCGGCGAAACCCGACAGGTACAGAATGACAAATTGCAAAAACCAGCAGGTACTACATTTGATTAGCTATTTCTGAAAAATACTTAAAAAGAACAAAAACAAACCAGAAAATTGGCAAGTTAATCCTATTATAGTTTTGCTTTTTAAACGTATTTTTAATTTTGTTTTAGAAACTACTGGTTCAATTTCCATTTCAGAACTGGGGATTGAACTCAGGCCCTTGCGCTTGCCAGGGAGGTGCTTATTCCACTGAGCCATCTCCCCGGGCCTGATAATTTCCATTTCTAGTAATAAAGGAGTATTTTTTTTCCAGTCATCCACAAAGCACATTTCTCCTTAGAGCTTTTGCTGTGTTTGAAATGACACAGGGATAGGTGAAGGCCACAAAAACTCCACACACCAAGCTGGACATGGTGGCACAGGCCCTTCGGGAAGCTGAGGCAAGAGGATCACAACTTTGGATCCTCTTTGGGCAACTTACCTAGCTCCTGTCTAGAAAATGTAGACAATAAGGGCTGTGGATGTAGCTTAGTATGAAGGCCTTGGGTTCAGTCTACAGTGCTGAAATCCATCCGTCCGTCTGTCCATCTGTCCACACCAAACTCACTCAGAGACTGCAACCCCTACCTGAGCTGTGGCAGCACAAAGGGCCCCGGAGATAAGACCAGGCTCCCAGTGGTGACCAGCACCCACCCAGGAAGGAGGCTCAGAGGCTTGGGCTGCTCCTCTGCGCTCTGCCCCTCTGTCCATTAGCTCTGCTGTCACCACAGATCCTGTAGAGGGGTGGCTGGACAGCAGTGCAGAGGCACAGAGTCCATGTGGACAGTGGGAACAGGGTTGGGTCTCAAGAGGGCTCCGCCTGGCTGCTGTCGGTCACCTTGCTGAGGCCTTAGGGAGGGCTGACGAGGGTCCTCTGCTCACGAGGAACCCATCCCACTCTGAGAACCGTATCAACCTTAACTTCCCCAAAGACCTGCGTCTCCAGATTGAGGGCTTCAGCCCCAGAATCCTGAGGAGACACCGTTCTGTCCTTTGCGCCCTCAAGGCATGTGCTGCTCTTAACACGGCCCAGACTCCTGAAGGTCTCTGTACCTGCACGTACCCCCGGTTCCATGCCCGTGTGTGTGTGAGTGTGAGTGATATCACCCAGCACGTGTCCCAGCCCCAATAGTGGCTCAGAAGGGGGGCATCCCGGAAGACACCAGGCTTCAGACTCGATCCTTAAGACAGCACCGTTCAGCTGTGGGATCTGGACTGGACTGTGAAGGCATCAGCCTCACAGATGAGCTTGGAGCTTGGGGGCTGTGGAGAGGGGGGGAGCAGGGGGTGCACTCGGAGGTCACTGCAGTGTGACGTGGCTGTCCCCTTCCTCTGCTTCCTGGCTGCCTGCCCCCACCTTGCCCTTCAACCAGATTTTCTTAAAGCAGCAGACTGTGGACTAAACCCTTTGAAACCGTGAGTCAGAATTACCTGTTGTAAGTTGTGTTTGTTGGTATTGTGTTCAGGAACAGTGATTAGTACAAACCCTCAGTTGTAAGTAGCCCCTGCCCACTAACAACACGGTGCATTGTGGTGGCTCAGCATGGAATGAGTAATTACTGCTAGGTACACAGCATAGGTGACCGCGTGTGTAACACAAGACGAAGAAGGGAAGCCAAAAGAATCCGACCTGTGGTACAGGAAGCCTTGCTGAGCTTTCTGTGCAGAGGGGGCGGCTGGGGGGGTGGGGGCGGCTGTAGGTGCTGGTAATATTTTTTTTGACCTGCGTTGATTATGAGTGTGATTATGATCATGGAAACTTAGCAAGCTGTGCACACCAAGGCCTTCCGTCTGAAGACGCCGCGCGTCCGTGAGCATACCCAGCAGGTGATGGGGTGCAGAAGAAGAAGGCTCGAGTCCGGCCGCGCTCTGCCTCATAGCCCCGCTGCCCCGGGGTGGGGGCTCGCCTCTGCTCTCTGTTGTGCCATCTTGAACAGAGGGCTGAGGGCAGCAAGGTGGAGAGCTCCCTAAGAGCACAATTCAGTGCCGCCTGAGGGCAAAAGAGGCATCGACAGATGTCCCGCTTTCCATTGCTCCTTACGGTTGCCATTTCGTACCCCTGGCAGCACCCCTGCCAGATCAGGATGGTTTGCTCGGGTCAGAGTTAGGGCAAGCAAACCCAAGTCCTGTGGAAGAGGGTCATGGAGCAGAGGGAGAAGCCACGACCTGGGGAGGCACCCACTGGCAGCGGCAGGAGGGAGGAACCGGAACGTACATCTCCTGAACACACGTTTACACATCAAAGCGAGGCCAGTGGGCGGCAGGAGAGCCCAACGCGTCTCTCCAGCCCCCAGGCATCAGGTCCAAAATGGTTCCATGTGCAGAGAGCAGAGCAGAGGAAAGAGTTTAAAAAGAAAAGAGCCCTTGATTGGGTGCTACAGAGTGGGATAGTTTTCAGCTGCTTGATGTGCAGTAATGAGCCTCCTCAGCCGAATGCTTCGCACCTGGCTGCGGCGGGGCCGTCCTTTCCCTGCCTCTGCAGGAAAAGAAGCTCAGAGACCTGCAAATAATTCTATTGTGAAATGGATGGTCAGAAGAGCGACCGTAAAAATAGCACCTCTTTACCATCCATATTTACTCCATATGTGTTTTTCCTTGGATTTCATTTCTCAGCGAAAAGTTGTTTTACACCAGCCCACAGGGCCAGACTTGGTGGGCATAAGGGAGTTGTTCTGAGGGCGTGGGGGAGGCTCCAGGGGGTACGGGGGGTACTGTCTGCTCCCCACCCAGGCTCCTGGCTTCAGTGCACACACAGGTTCCAGGAGCCGCTAAGAGATTGCTTGGCCAAATGAACATGGATCAGGGTGTCAGGACAGGAAATCGCAGAAGGACCTGAAATTCACGTTTGCACCCACAAGTCTTGCAGCCCACAGAACGGGCAGGGGTTCAAGCGCTTCTGAAGCCCAGGTAATAGCTGTCGTAGCACACGTCATAAATTTTGTCGGTCTGCGCCCAGCCGTCCCTGTTAATGGGAGCAGAGAGGGATATGAGTGAATTAAAACAGATGACGGACGCCGACCTGGGTCTGGACGGGAGCTAAAGCTTGCGCTGGTCCTCGGATGTGACCAGAATGACGTGGGGGTGTGGTGAATTTGCCTTCCTCGCACAGCTCTGCTCACCTCATGTCTGAAGAGGCTGAAGAAGAATGCCTTCACCTGAGGGAGTGCCAGACTGCTGGGACAGAGGTCACCTGACTAAGCCAGGTGCATGCAGGCCAGAGGTTCTGCAAGTGTGGCCCTCATCCGTCAGGCCATCCCTGAGCCAGTGCAGACAGGACCGGCACCCTGTGTCCTCAGGCGTCCTCCAGCTGGCTCCAGGATTGTTGGCCACAGGAAAAGCTTTGGCTCCATGGGCTCCTAGCCTTTGGCTCCTCAGGGGTGCCAGGGGCCCCCACTGGGGACTGCCCACCTGCCGTACTTCCTCCTTGCTAGGCACAGCCAGCCTGAAGCAGTGCGTGGGACTGGCTGCCCCCCACCCCAGAAGGTCCTGGGACCCTGTTCCCAGCCTGTCCTGTCCCAGAGATCCTGTGCACAGGGTCACCCAGGACAGCTGTTCTCAAGTGACCTTTCTCAAGAGAAAGGTGTGGCGTTTCTCTC